TCCGTCGTCCTGGTTCGGGGTGTGACATATGCCTAATCATAAATGATTATACATATATGTATGTTCACAGATTGAGTAATCATATATGATTATGATAGTTGGTGGCAGAAAAGGTGGTGGTGGTATAAGTGACGAATGTGACAGTGATGGGGTCGGCTGGTGTCAGAGGTGGTGACGGTGGCGGTTATGGTGGTGGGGATGGTGGCGGAGGATAAAGGAACGAGCGACACTATATAATCATTTATGATTATAACAGACCTGTCGTGCCGGTACGTCGGAGGGTTAGAGCGACAAATGTAAAGCATGTGTCTGAGGTTGAATCTCAAGATCGCTATTTTATTTTTAATCTCACGGAACCTACCTCTCTCTCTCTCTCTCTCTCTCTCTATATATATATATATATATATATATATATATATATATATATATATGTCTTGGGGTTACTGCTAAGAACCTAGAAAATCGAAGATTTTTCATCCCAATAAGTGTGTTTGTCCGTGTTTCGTTGCAATGAGTGTTTATGTGTGGGTTTTTGTTATTTTGGGTCATTCTTCCTCACATATATAAGATGAAAATGAGAAAGAGAGAGAGAGAGAGAGAGAGAGAGAGAGAGAGAGAGAAGGCGTTTGCCATTTGTTTTTTTTTTCATTTGAAAATGATTTGTAGGTGAAAGGTGAGAAGAACATAAGAGAAAGAGAAATAGAGTTAGAGAGAAAGGGAGAGATAGAAGAGGGGTAGGATGGAGAGATAAGGGGGAAGGGGTATGTGTGAGAAAGAGATTGTCACACCCCCAAACCAGACGGCGGAAACGTCCGGGGGTGGAGGACTTCAATTGTAGTATCACAACACATGCATCATAGTAATCAAAGTACAAACAACCATTGTATTTAAAAAGTATAAGTATTTACATGTGTTCAATCATTGTATATTGAACCAAAATAGTTATACAAAAGAAGATATGACTCAACATAGCTCCATCTTCTCAAAAAGCTCGGGGAGTACCTGTGTATTATTTCCCTGAGAACATAAGTAATTTGAAAAGAGAGTATCAACATAAAGTTGAATGAGTGCATAAGTGTTTATGTTTGAAAGAGTATCTCTGTATCTTGTATATATAAACTGTCCCAGAAAATCCTATATCTTCTGTTGTATATGAAAAGTAGTTTTATTCCCATAAAACCGTTCTCTTTGTATCAATGTTTTGTATTTGTATTCCTTTATGAAAACTTGTAACTGAGAGTGTTCCTGGCTCCACCAGTTGTTATTGAAAACTGTATTGAACCATTGTAGTTTGTATTTTGTAAACTGGTACTTTGAAGGTGTACTTTCGTTTAGTTGTTTATACATTAACTTATTGTAATATCTTTCTAATGAGTTATTATAACTATACTATGACGGATGCCCTGAAACAAACGCTTTGTGGGCGTTTAAACTGTTGATAACAATTGCCACTCATTGGCGTGTATGCCTGACTGTAGCTAGCAGCTAGAGTGCGGGGTTGTCAATCCCGATATAGATCTACACACAACTTGTTTCGATCCCCGGGCTGGAGATTCTGGTTATAATGTCAGGGCTTTACCTTGGTTGTCTAAAATGAATTAAACAACCTGAATTGAATGTCTCATAAAAAGCATATAAACGTTACAAGTATATTAGTCATGAAAACCCAATCATTTTGAAATAAATGATTGACAGTATGTTCTTGAATTAGTATTCCGAACATGTATTTGACAAGTGTAAACCCTTGATTTGTTCTGAATCAAAACCCCTGTTTCTTGTAAAACAGTGTATTCTAGTATGCTTGAATCATGAATTATTGTTCTATGTATCATAAATTATACCTATTATAATTTATATGTACTTTCTGAATTGGTATTTAACTGTTTTTAGCATGTAACCCCTTGCCCAACATGTTACAAAGGTATTTGAACTGATGAAATAACTTTTATGTTTATATACATACACAATTTTATATATAAGTAAAATTTAAACGACACTCGGACAAATAACCGGTACTATAAGCCCACATCCAAACAAGGAAAAGGACCCATAATGAGTTATCAGTCCTAAGCCTTTTAAATCTTATTTATATACATATATATACAAATATGAATTTTGGGGAAAAATATAAGTTTATAAAAGAGTTTGATGTTTTGGGTATTTTTGATGATTTAATGTCGTTTTATCATGATTTGAAATCATGATTTTATAACACAGAGTTCTTGTGTTATGCTTGTATTCCCCCCTTAAAACAGTAGAAATTATGAAAATACGGGGGTATGAACTCACTTGTTAGATGGGGATTTGGGCAGCGTTTCGTTTCCCGGAAAAGAGTTTATTTGACGAGAAACCGGCTCAAATTGGGCAGAGTTTCGACTGGAGAGAGGTTAACTTCTCGGGAATCTCGGGGCTTCGAGGCTTGATTAGGGTTTTAGACTTGATACCGGGGCTTTAGGGGTTGTATGTGAGTTTGTGAGAGTGAAAAATATGAAAGGGTGTGAAATTTGGGGTGAAAAGTGTGAATTCTTCGGAAGCCCTCGCATGGCTTTTATAGGCCGCAGCCTCGGACCGAAGGGTGAGTCAGCTAGGCACGCGTCGGACATGCGAAGGGTACACGGGGTGAGGCTCGGACAGATGGCTCGGAGGTGGTGGCTTCGAACTGGACCGGACTTTGGTCCAATGGGAAGAGGGCATGTGTCCGAGGGGGTGTCCGGGGGTGTCTCCTGCGAGGGCTGTCGGCTGCTTATTGGACCTCGGTCTTGGTCCAATCAGATGGTGACACGGCGAACTTCGGTCCAATCCGATGGTGACACGTGGAAGCCTCGCATGCGAGGGTGACGTGGCCGAAGGTCAGCCTTGCGAAATTTCTCGGTTTTCAATATTTCTTGATTTTTGTGCCAAAAACCTGCAAAAATCATAACTTTCGCATACGAGCTCCGTTTTCGACGTTCTTTATATGAACGCGTAGGTAAAATTATACTCTACGACTTCCGTTTAGACTTCGTCGGCTGATTTTGACTTGATTTTTAATAATATTATTTTTAACAGACCGGGACAGGAAATCCGTTAAAAATTCATAACTTCTTCATCCGACGTCCGTTTTTGTCTGTCTTTTCACCGTTGTACTACTATTGATGAGACTTTCAATTCTCGTTTAGGTTGTGTGGGCTAAAAACCACTCGATCTTTATTTCGAGTTTTTACCTGTACACTACTATACTGAAACTTAGATTAATCGTAACTTCCTCATATGAAGTCAGATTTTGACGTTCTTTTTATGAAAGTTCTCGGTTTAACATAAACTACAACTTTTAGTTAGATTGTTAAGGCTAAAAAGCCTTTTATTGAAAATTCAGTTTTTATACTGAACAGTGTTTTGCCGGTTTTGTCGCGGATCTTCGATTGGTCATAACTTCTTCGTTATAACTCGGATTTTAGTGTTCTTTATGTTTTTGGAAACCTTGTTACAATCTCTATCACTTGGTTCATCCCAATCGAGATTGTTTAATAATTTATTTTTGATGGTCAATTATGTAAATATACACATTATGCTAAAATTTCTCTTTATTATTTAAAAAAAATACAAATTGACCTACATTATTACATAGGTTTGAAATAACGTTTTGTTACAGAGATGTGAGTCCATTTTTTTGTTTTATATTTTTAATTAATAAAAGATTAAAATGAATATGAAAAAAATACAAAAGAAGAAATAAAAATGACAAAATGGTCATTTTAAGTTTTTTAGAACCAAAACCATGAAAAATTCATGATTTTGGACCTTCCATGCAAGTTGAATTTTTTTTTTTTGGACCTTATCCATAATTTTTACCAAATTACAAGGACCAATTTTACAGTTTTCTCTTAGGCTACGAGGAGTGGAGTCGATGCCATGCTCCTCAAGCTTCTCGCTAAAACAAGGAACACCTCCCCTGGCTCTCGCTAGGGGACTCGCCAAGGTAAAATCGCTACAGACGTAATGAGAGGAGAGAGAGGATGGATTGGTGGCTTTTGATTAGATCTTGGCTATTGTTTTCCCTTTTTCCTCCTCCGAAATCATCTCTATTAAATTAACACACAATCACTCCCTAACTTTTTTTTGTGAGACATGCTAAACCTACATAACATAAAAAAAGGGCAAAATACATAAAAGCACAACCATTTATCTATCAACATTCAGAAAAACCCTTATATTTTTTATATGCAGAAAAACCCTTACATTTTTAATTACCATTCATATTAACCTAAATATTCGGTTTTTTAAAGAAATTACCGGTTGTTTTGTGACATAACATTTATATTTTTGTTTTTAGGTTAACAAGGAAACATAAATAAACGAATTTGCCTCTTTTCTAAAGTAAAACGTGAGAAATACATAATTTACTCAACGACCACTTACTTAAGCAAATATAAGTTACATTGTTTATTTTTTCCATGTCAACCTAAAACTGAACAAGATAAATGTTATGTCAAAAACAACTCGATAACTTATAAAAAAACAGATATTTGGGTAAATCTGAATGGTAACTGAAAATGTAAGGGTTTTTCTAAATGCTAGTAGATAAATGGTTGTGCTTTTCTGTATTTTTCCAAAAAAAAACTAAAAAAACCTATGATAGCAACATGGTAAAATATGTTACCACTTCATTAAGCCTTCCTAAAATTTACTCATGTTTTTAAAACAAGGGATAATATCACTGTAGCACATGAAACTTTTTACATTTGGCTAATTTGGTCATTAAAGTTTTTTTTTGGTACATTAGACCACTAAACTCCATTTTTACCTTTTAATTACACCATTATTTAAAAAATTAGAAGGTTTACCGGTTACAATGGTTATGTGGCAAGCTGATGTGTCCAATAAGCTTACGTGGGATACTGATGTGTCGAAGAAGTCGAGTTGTCGAACAAGCCTTATTAATTGAAACTTCATTTAAGTGTTTCTTACCCTTTTATGAAAAGTCAAATCCTCTCCCCCGACTTTTTCCGTCCTCAAGAACAATGTCTTCGAGCTCATCTACTTCAAGGAATCGGCTACAAGTGACTCATGTTCGGTCGCGAGAAGGGGTAAAGCTTTGTGATTGCGGCGTTCCAGCTAAAGAACGAACGTGTTGGAAGATAACAAACCCTGGGAGGCGTTTCTGGAATTATCAAAACAGTATGGTAGGTCTCGATACTCCTGATCTTGATAACTTAGTATTTTAGGGTTTACTGTGTTGTTTCTTCTTGTAAAGACGATCATGGTCGATTTGTATTTTGTAAAAAAAAAAACCTAATTTTACTTTCTTCTTGACGATTATTTGTGATTGTGAATCAAACCCATTTCGTTAGTACATTAAAGGTAGCTGATTTTCTTAATCTTTAATTACTATCCAAATCAAAGCATTTTCATTTATTGATGCATTGGCTTTTTACAGACTAGGTTGAAGAAATGTAGCTTCTTTGAATTGGAAAGACGAAGAACAAGCAGAATGGTACTACAAAAACCTTATATATTCTCTGAAGCAGAAACTGGATGCTAAAGAGGATCTGTTTGAGATGAACAATTTGAGGAGAAGGATTGCTGAAGTGGAGTTCCTGCTGTCACAGGAGCAGTATAAGGTGGCAAAGAGTGAGAAAGAAGTTTATGATGCAAGGATGGAAATAGGCAGGTACAGGATGATAGTTGCCTTGTTGTTTGCTTGCTTGGTCATTTGTGTTTTGAAGTTAGGGGTGATTGTACTTAGTTAGGTTGGTTGTTTTAAGCTTTTTGTATTTTTTGTAAAGGCAGAACAGAAAGTCAGTAATGATGGGCATTTTGTATGTTTTGAAGCTGCTTTTTAGTTACAAGTTGGGGCTATCAACCTTGATTTGTTGATGTTGTAAGGTGGTAAGTCCCTAATGAAAGGGCATATGATAACAAATGTAAAAAAATATTTAAAGTCCCAATTGTAGGGCATTTTGTATAATCAGATGTTGATGTTATTGAAACATATGCATGGCCTGTATTCCCAACAATTATATTTAATTAAATTGGTTGTTGTGCATGTTTTTATTTTAGGAACAAATTAGAAAGTGGTCCCTGTGGAAGTACGCTATATGTATGGGGACCATTTGTAGTTAGTAGTCAGTGGGTGTTTTTATAATGGAAAAATGGGACCTTTGAACCCGTTATAGAACCATATTCCTGACCATATAACACATTCACATGCATGCACATTATTCCAAATTTTCCCATGTAGAAATATTCAAAGCCATATGTCATGAGTTTACTTAAAAAGGAAACATACTTTCATAAGTGAGTAAAATATCATTTCATGTCATGAGTTAACTTAAAAAGGCACCATGCATACATAAATGACCAAAATACCCTTTTATGTCATGAGTGAACTTAAAAAGGCACCATGCATACATAAATGACCAAAATACTCTTTTATGTCATGAGTGAACTTAAAAGGCACCATACATACATAAATGATCACATCACATGTATCATCAACACCACATACTTTAAATCCAAATAACACAAAGTAAAAATTACCATCATCCTAACACACATACTTTAAATCCAAATTACCATCATCCTAACACACATACTTTAAATCCAAATAACACAAAGTACAAATCAACACTAATCAATTAGAAGAGCTTTTCTTTAGAATTTCCTGGATCATCAACACCACCAATTCTTTTGCCTAATTTCAGCTTCAAGATTCTCTCTGACTTTCTTCTCCTTATCCTCTTCAAAATATCTGAAATTGGCCTAACCCTTACCTGCTGAACCTGGATAACAGGAACAACCTCCTGAATTTGAACATTATTAACAACTTGGACATTAGGATTAACCTCATCATCATGAACATTACCACCCTCCTCAACTTCTTCACCCACAACAGTCTCCTCACCCACAACACCCTCATCACCTTCATAACTTCTAGGTGGAGTAAATTGCATAGTCTGACTAAAATCCCCTGCACTAATGGATTCAACATCAGTAGGGGTAACTTGCATATCATTTTGAGTAGTATCCATCTCAATTGGAGTCATTTCAACCTCTTCATGTTGTTGTGGTTCACTTGTACTACCCTATATGGCATGATATAATTATGTTAGTGGCAAATCATATGTAAATAAATTTAAATTTTAAATGGTTTTACCTGTCCTGCATTTTGCTTCACACAAACTTTTTGTTTCTTCTGTTTCTTCAAATTTAACTTTTGGGGCCTTCTCTATGGACAAGTGGCCTTGTTGTGACCTATCTCCTTGCATATACTACATCTAATTTTCTTTCCAGCCTTAGAAACCCTGTGTGTTCCTGTATTCTATGTAGTGGATTTCTTCCTCTTAGTAGCTGGCCTACTAGGCACCCTTATACTAATAGGAGGCAATGGTGGAGTCTAATTTGTCTCTGGCCACATGTCACTGCCATTCATGGGGGCAGTTTTGTAACTGTATGCCTTCCTAAATGTGGTTGTGCTAAACATGTTGTCTACATAGGCTTCTACATCCTATTAATAAAGGATATGCTAGCTACAGAATGAGCACATCCATATCCATTCAATTGCCACAACCTACATGAACATGTTTTCCTTTCTAAGTCCACCTCATATGCATCTGTTGCCCCCTTACCTCAAACTGGTTTAATCCACTAGGTAGTACATGATAATGCCTTTGAATTTTTTTAAGCAAATTCACCTTATCCCTTATCTCTGGACAAATATGATTTCCCCATTGCTGTCCCTTTAATTTCATGTTGTAGATTTTGTCCACCATGTATAATCTTAACTCCTCTAACATGGTTATTATGGGCTTCTTCCTAGCATCTACTATTACAACATTAAAACTTTCAGAGAAGCCATTTTCAATTGCATCACAACACCTTCCAACAGGATCTTTCTCCATGAGATATTGATGGGCATCTGGGTTCAATGTCTCAATTTCATTCATCACAACTTTAAAAGCATGCTCAGTTGTGGCTTTAGATGCTCTCCAAAACAAGGTATGATATATCGCACCAGTGAATCTCTTCTGCAAATTATGGCAAATATGTCTAGCACACCGCCTGTACTTTACATATGGAAGCAACTCTTTAACAGCCTCTATCAAACCCTGTATTAATAAAAAGGTTTAAATCAGATAGTATAAAATAAATATAAATGAATTTCTATGTAAATTACTAACGTTATGTTGGTCTAACATTAAACTGAAGCCATTGCCTAAATTCAAGTTTAGATCATCAATGAGAAGCTCTAAAAACCACTTTCAATTCTGCTTGTTCTCCACACTAACCACTGCCCAAGCAATAGGATATATCTTATCATTTGCATCCCTCCCAATAACACAAAGCAATTCCCCCTTACAAACACCTTTAAGAAAACATCCATCAAGACCTATTATCCTTCTACACCCTTCAATCTAACCTTGTTTAACTCCTTGAAAACAATCATAGAACTTGCTAAAATATTTCTTTCCATCTGGACCATCCTCCACATCTAGTTTCACAGTTGACCCAGGATTTGTCCTTAAAATCTCATGACCATATGACCATAGCTTACCATAATGTTCAACAAGGCTACCTTCAACAAGATTCCGTGCATACTTCTTTGCTCTCCTACACTGGCCCATACTAACTTAGATACCAAACTTGGTCGTTACCTTTACCCTAAGCTTCCTTACACTTATTTTCTGACTTTGTACAATCTCTTTGGTATAGTGACTCCCAATCCATGCATATGTCACCAATGATCCAAACTTGAAGTTCCTAGCACAATTATGATCAGCTTTTAGTGACTTGATTTGGAAACTCTCTTCATCACTCATCCAAGAAGTCCATAATCTAAATGTGCAAGCAACCCTGCTACACCTCACCAAAAGTCTTTTCCTATCATTTTTTTCAAAACACAATTGATATCCATTAGCTACAACATAGTTGCACAACATTGATTTTACTTGTCCTGGACCCTTAAATCTCATTCCTAGAATTGGTTTTTGTTTTTTCCAGTGTAATAGCTCATTAAATATGGAATGAGTTTGGATGTTAAGTTCAACTTCTCTCCCATTATCATCATCTACAATGTTGTTATCCTCCTCCTCATCAACACATAACTTACTCAAGAAATGAGCATTTGATGTCCTATTCATATGCACTACATCCTCATTAAATTCAAAGGCAACATTCCTAAGTTCATCTATGTTATCTTCATTTTCACCATCAATACAAGACTCATGTTCATCATCATCATTATCTTCATCATCAAGCCACCCATCAACACCAACCCCAATATGATCTACATAAACCGAAATTACACCATCTGTTCCATAAGCATCAAAAATAAAAGCAACATATTCCACATCTTCTGAAATGGGATTAAGCCCTTCCATCAGGGAATTGCCTGGTTCACAGTAGTAAAACTTTTTACACTCTTCATGCATGAAACGTTCGCAGAAGGTCACAAACTCAGAATAAGTCATAGAAGAAAAGTCGACATCAGTGAACATGGTTTTCACACCACCAGTGTAAGAGAAATGATTTCGATTAAATACCCCTTGGTAGTTGAGTTTCACCATCGCAAACACTCCATTAGGTTCCGATTGTGCCATTGCTGTGACTTCTTTTTTTCTTCAGCTCGATCACAGGAATGCTTCACAAACCCTAAATCAGTTTATTTTACAGCTGATAATGAAGACGAGTGAAGTTCGATAGCTGAAGACAAAAGGCTTTAAGCTTTGTATATCATTTATTGACGTGACATCTCACGTGGCATCGGATTAGCCAAAAAATATATATTAATTGATATATATAAAATGTCAATCGGGAAACCGTTTAAAAGTATGGAAAATGACTAAATTAATAGGTCATATACGAGTTTAGTGGTCTAATGTACAAAAAAAAAAAAACTTTAATGACCAAACGAGTTAAATATAAAAAGTCTCACATTATCCCTTAAAACAAATAGTCAAATACCAACCTTCTTAAAATTTCCTCATGTTTTAACAAAAATACCAAATTCGATGGTTTTTATGTGATTTTGGTATAAAGTCAAGTTACTACATCCTGTACCCTGGAACCAAAACCCTTAGCATACCACGCACACTTCTTCACAGTCCATCGTCTCTGTTGCCTTCTACCGATTACATTTCCCCTCATTTTTCTCTTCGGTAGGGTTTCGATCGCAATTCGCTAGCAATGGATGATGTATCCGAAGGCAAAGATTTCTCGTTCCCAAAACAAGAAGAGAAGATCTTAGAATGGTGGACTGAAGTCAAAGCATTTGAAACGCAGCTTGAAAAAACCAAAGACCTACCGGAATACATCTTCTACGATGGCCCTCCGTTTGCCACTGGTTTACCTCACTACGGCCACATCCTTGCTGGAACAATCAAGGACATCGTCACTCGGTACCAGACCATGACCGGCCACCACGTCACACGGCGGTTCGGTTGGGACTGCCATGGGTTGCCGGTGGAGCATGAGATTGACGTCAAGCTAGGGATTAAGACCAGAGAGGATGTGATTAAGATGGGGATTGGTAATTACAATGAGGAATGTAGGAGTATTGTTACTCGGTACGTTGGGGAATGGGAGAAGGTAATTACGAGGACGGGGAGGTGGATTGATTTTAAGAACGATTACAAAACGATGGATTTGAATTTCATGGAGAGTGTTTGGTGGGTGTTTTCTCAGTTATTTAAGAAAAACCTTGTTTACAGAGGGTTTAAGGTTAGTTCTTCATCAGATTTGTTTTGTTTATTTTACTTGCAAATAACTTCCTTCAATTCTGAATTTGGTAAACTGAACATTGTCAAT